CCCTCTCCACACGGGGGTGGTGGGGTCTCCACAGGTCACCCGGTGGGTAGTTAACGAAATAAAAGCCAATAAGCAACTGGAAAATGCCCCCAGTCCCAGCAATGGTCACCCGGTCTCCCGGCACGGCGGGGTTCCAGCTCCTGGCCAGTCTTGGCTGTGCTTTGGGGCGGCTCCGTTTCTGTGTGTTACTGAGCGTGTCTGTGCATTGGTGGCTGTGCCATGGCTGTGGCAGGTGACCCAATGCCCTTCCCCTCCGGCAGGTCCGCCAGCAGCTCCTCAGTCGGCCCCAGGACGTGCTGGAGGGTGTTGTGCTGAGAGTAAGTCGGTGTGCCTGGGACCGGGGAGGTGCAGGGAGGGGTCCCCAGAGCTGGGCCTGGCTGCGGCCCTTGCTGGCACTTGTGGTGTCACCCAGGAGCTTTTGGCTTCTGAGATGCGACTGCTTGGACCGTGCCGGGGATAGGCTGTCCGTGAGCTGGGCGGCACCCCGAGGAGTGGAGTCCGCACCAGGGCATTGCTGCAGTCCCTGCCCCCGAGGCTTCCGTGGGCCCTGAGTGTGTCCCCCAAGTCCCCGTCTTCCCCGGCAGCCCAGCCCGGAAGCGCGGGTGCGCGACATTGCCATAGCAACAAGGAACACGAAGAAGAACCGCAGCCTGTACAGGAACGTCCTGATGTGCGGGCCACCGGGCACCGGGGAGACGCTGTTGGCCAAGGTGAGAGCACCTGGCTGCGCAGGTGGGCCAGGGGCCGCTGGGGGTCTCACCTGCCTGCAGGTGCCTGGGGGGCTCAGTCACCTGGGGAATGGACTCTCCTTAGTCCTTTGGCCACCCTCATGTAGGGTCAGCGTGCTGGTGTGGGTAAGAGCGCCTCCCATCTTCCAGGCAGGGGACGTCTCCTGTTTGGCAGGCTGTGGCTTCCAGGCTGTGGCTTCCAGGCAGGGACGCCCGACAGGGGCTCCACACTCCGGGTGGTGTGCGCAGGCTTTGCAGAGGCGGAGGGAACATCTGTTCTGTCTCCCCTCACTCTTCCCGTCTAGAAACTCGCCGTGCACTCGGGCATGGACGACGCCATCGTGACAGGCGGAGACGTGGCCCCCATGGGGCGGGAAGGCATGACCGCCATGCACAAGCTGTTTGACTGGGCCAATACCAGCCGGCGCGGGTGAGACGTCCCCACAGCATGCACACAGGCCCTTCACTGCAGCCCAGCAGGCTGCCTTCGGGGAAGGGGGTCCAGGTGGCTTTCCGGGACCTCGTGGTCTTTCTGCAGCTCTGTCCTTGTGGCCACGCAGGAGGCCCGGCGGAGGGTCCCTCGGAGGGAAGGTCCCCTGAGTGTGGACCCTGGTGGACACGAGGCCCCCAGCGTGCGGAGGCTGCCAGTGGGATACTTGGCTCAGGACAGAAGGGAGGTGGGTGGGTGTAAGGGCAGAGGGGTCTTCACAGCTGCAGGGGCGCCACCTCCACGGCCGCCCTCCCTCCGACACGTGTGCAGGTGGGCGTGGGCACCGGCTCCTTTTGGTAGAACCATTTGGAAGTTAGCTGCAGACAGTATGGCACACACCCTTCAATAGGTCCCACAGTGACCCCACGCAGCGCACAGCCAGGGCACCCTTGCGGCCTCAGCTGTCCCCGCTAGCACCACGTTCCTCATGGCTGGCACCCTCCCCTCTGGCCTTTGACCTTTCACTTTACAAGATCCTGCCCCTGGTGTGGACTCTGAGCGGCCACCCGTGTGCCGTTGGCTTCCCGGGGCCTTGTGAGGCTGGGCTGTGGTCAGCTGCCCAGAGGCCAGGCTGATGGGCTTCTGTCAGATCCAGGACTCAGGGCTCCTTAAGGGGCAGAGGCTGCACCCCTTGGGGATCTGCCCGCTCGGCCTGCTCCCGCCACAGCCCGGCGCTGCTGTGGGCCGCTCCAGGTGTCACTCTCGCCGTGCTTGGCCTCCCTCTCGTTCACAGCCTCCTGCTCTTCGTGGACGACGCGGACGCCTTCCTTTGGAAGCAAGCCACTGTGAGTGTCCCTAAGCCTCTGTCTGACCCCGGGAGTGGGGGGGCGGGTGTGTCCGTCATCCTGGACCAGGCCACAGCCCGCTGCTCAATTCCTTTTTCTCTAAGTTTTGTGTGAAAAACAGCATTTTTTTTTTTTGTTTTGGTCAGCTTAAAGTTAAGGTTGTTCTTTTGAGGGTCCAGCCTTGGGACAGAGCGAGGCTTCTTCTCAAAAAAACAGCTCACTGTTGCCTCGAACTTTCAAGCTCAAGCTGTCCTCCTGCCTCAGCCGCCCATGTAGCCAGGACTGCAGGGGCACAGTGCCATGCCTGGCTAATTTTTTTTTTTTTCTTTGAGATGGAGTTTTGCTCTTGTTGCCCAGGCTGGAGTGCAGTGGTGCAATCTTGGCTCACCGCAACCTCCTCCCCCTGGGTCCAAGCAATTCTCCTGCCTCAGCCTCCCAAGTAGCTGGGATTACAGTCATGTACCACCACGCCCGGCTCATTTTGTATTTTTTTTAGTAGAGAAGGGGCTTCTCCATGTCGGTCAGGCTAGTCCGGATCTCCCAACCTCAGGTGACCCTCCCACCTCGGCCTCCCAAAGTGCTGGGATTACAGGCGTGAGCCACCGTGCCCGGCCGTTTTTTGGTAATGTTAGTAGAGATGGACTTTCCCCCTCGTTACCCAGGCTGGGCTCAAACTTCTGAGCTATAAGAGACGCTCCCGCCTTGACATTGTGAAGTTCCGGGATTACAGACGTGAGCCCCCATTCCGAGTCAGGGATTTTTTTGGTTTTCTTTGTTTGTTTGTTTGTTTTTTTGAGACAGAGTCTCACTCTGTCGCCCATGCTGGAGTGCAGTGGTGCAATTTCAGCTCGCTACAACCTCTCCCTCCCAGGTTGAAGTGATTCTCCTGCTTCAGCCTCCCACGTAGCTGGGACTACAGGTGTGCCACCGCGCCTGGCTGATTTTTGTATTTTTAGTAGAGACGGGGTCTCACCATGTTGGCCAGGATGGCCTCAAACTCCCTACCTCAGGTGATCTGCCCGCCTCGGCCTCCCAAAATGCGGGGTCACGTGCATGAGCCGCCGTCCCTGGCCCTGGTCAGGCTTTTGAGTTTAGATCCGTGAAAGTGTCGCCGCATCCCTGCTCCCTGCAGGAGGGAGGCCTGTGGGACCTTCTGCTGTGGCTGTTTACAGGGCTTTGCTCCTGGTGCCTAAGGTTGGAACCTTCTCTGCGGGAGAAGATGAGCAATTACCACCTCAGAGCCGCCGAGAACGCCTTCCTAAAGTACACGAGGCAGCTCAGCCACAGGTGAGGGGGCCCCTCGGGTCCTGGGCTCCCGGGTAGGGCTTTGCAGCCGTCGCCCTTGGTTCCCACCGAGGGATCTCAGGGGCCCTGGATCACAGTGCAGGGCAGCACCCGTAGCCTCAACGTGCCCACCTCGGATGTCCCCTAGGAACGGCCCAGCTCGGGACAGCATGAAGTGTCATTGAGGAACATGTGGGGGCCTCCTGGGCAAAGCTGGAGTCAGTCCTGTCCTCACGGCCCGGTGCGATGCCGCCCCAGCTTGCAGGTCCCTCTGCCCCTGGGTTTCCGCGGTCCTGTGCCTGCAAGGGAG